TAAAAAAGTTCATGATTTGAAATTTTTAAATCTTAATTCATCGCGTAAATAGATATACAAGTCCTTTCATATACTATGATTTGGAAGGAACCTTTATTGTTCACAAATCATGATTATAAGTGGGGCGTTAATGAGACGGTTTGATCGGTTATTTTTTTTAAAATTACTATCATTTTAATTTTTTTGGTATTTTATACTGTATAATTAAAATTAGATTTTTTTAAAACCATCCAACTCATATCGATTTCTCTTCGGTATCGACATGGTTCAGTTAATTTTTATTTTTTTTTACTTTTAAAATATCACTTCAAATTATACTATTATCAAAATATTTCTTTCGCAAATATTTTCTTAAAGAGGCACTTCAATTCTGATTTCTGCACCAAGAAGTCAAGAATGTAAAATCTTGTTGCTGTATTGTTTGATCTTAAAAATTTAATACGAGTATTTGCATGAATTTTGTCGTGTTGTTTGATGGAGTATCTATTATAGTATTTTATTAATTTTAAACCTAATTAATTAAAGTTTAATTAAAGAGCAAAGACCTAAGGTCGTTCAGTCACCGTAAGATTAAGACTTAAATTATATTTATATTTGAAAAATGTTATACAATATATTTATATATTAAATTTAACATATTGTTAATATATAAAATATATTTACATATACGTACGGCTATTCGGTTTGGTTCGGGAGTTTTTCAGCTTTTTTTATAAATTAGAAAAACCATCCCTATTGTTTGGGACGGTTATACACTTAGATAAAATTTGTGCACGATTTTATTGAAAAAATTATATAAATCGATTCGATTAAATTCGATCAATTTTTCATATTCTTTTATATCCCTACCCCTATATACATTATACAGCCTATCAAAAATGTTATGAGAATGTACAATGAGCAAATGTTCTCCATAGCAATCAAAAAGAGAAACAAATCGATTTGCAAAGAAATTGGATTTATCATTTCTTCTCCTAATATTAGGTAGTTGCATTTTATCAAAGTTAAAATAATCTCTTCATCTCTTTTTAAAGATATTAAAAAACATAGAAGTCAATTTGTCATATAATTTGCTACTTTCATTCATTTATTTTTATTAACTCATGTTATTTATTCGCTCTTGATTAAATTTCTTCACTTTAACATTTAGAGCATCATACATTGCGTAAAGTTGTAAATATCCATTGGGACCATCACAACTTAATTAGCTTCTATATAGCAATGTATAATATGATCTACGTCTTAAGAAATCTTTCTGATAGTGTCCCTCGACTTGAGGTTATCAGTGGCGTTAGTGTTGATCAAGTTGGCAATCAAAAAAGACACTTAACTCCGACATTATCATAAAAGGTTAAAAGGTCATTGATCACCCCCCCCCACCCCCACCTACCCACCCATCCACCCACCAACAACACACACCTTAGGCTCACAATCTAATGATAATGACTTACATTTTTTTTAAAATCTGCATAGTCTGCTAAAATTTGATATGGAAATGCCACATGATGTTTTCATTTTAGAAACTCGATCGGGGTAAATAATTAATCGTCGCTTGAAGGGACCAAAAGTGCACCAATTTGATAAACAATAAGCTCTATTAGTACTCCATTTAAAAGAATACGAATGAATTTGAGTCTATGTCCAAAAATAAAGGACTATTTTGAGACTTTTCTCGACTTATAACAAGCACAAATAATCCTTATGCCCCGGACAGGGACTTCATCAGTATTTTTTTAAATATTACAAATGAAAAAATGATCAAACAAAATTTTAAAAAAAAATGTGAGTTGAGAACCATGGAGTTTCAGGTTCAAATTCCAGTAGAGACAAAAACATTAATTAATTTATTTTCATATGTCTTAACTTTGTCAGACAGAGTTACATGATACCTGTTATTGATAAAAGATGACAAATACCCCCATGAAATCAGTGAGGTACGCCCAAGTTGATCCTGACACCATAGTTCTTTCAAAAAAATGGGTATTCTGCTGTACAAGATTCAAGTCTAATGAGTTATAGATCGAGTACTAAACCGGTTAAGAAACACTAGAGTCTCTTTTGCTGAAAGCTCTATCATAGGAAGGAGGAGGATGAACAACCACCCTCCTTCCTCGAGCAGAAAAGTTCTTCTGCTCAATAGTCCTGGCACTGAACGCTTTGCCTTCAGTGCCAGGATTAGGAGTAGGAGTACGAACGGGATTGTAGAAAGATGGTAACAAAAGATGTTTATTACTATTTCTCCATCCTTCTTTCTTTAAAATCCTAGATGTAGCTTCATGAGGTATGCTACTTAGTAGAATAACAAATGTTATTGCTATTATAATATTTCTATTTTGGGATCTCATATTTATGATTATACAAAATAAAGTTACTAATAGGGGGTCTATTTATATGCATGAAACATTGAAATTATGAGGATTTTTTAAGAGTTGTTTTTTTCTGGACAATGTTTCAAGTCTTTTTCCTTTTTATTGACTGTTGACGAGAAGAGTTTTAATTAAAAAAAGTTGGAAATTGAATGGGTCAATGACTATCTAATGACGGGCAATATACGTAATTACTATCTAATTTTGATTTGAATCGTTAAAATCTTGTCACTCAAGGCAATGAACTTTTTTTTTATAATTACGGTAGGATCTCTCTAGACTAAATATTTGTCGAGATCATAAAATTTTATTATTTTGTATAAGTGGTAATTAATCGATAGATTAGTATTTATTAATTTAAAGAGTGTTTTCGAGATTCAATGAAAGTTAATTTTGATTACATCAAAATCATTATATCTTAATCTTACTAACTTATGTATCATATTAATAAAATAATTATTAATCTCGATTATTGAAATAATGTTAATGTGATTTTTTTCACTGGTCCAAATCAGAACCGAAGAAAAATGTTATCTTAGAGAGTACTAGTAATTTAGAGAGGTTCTGCTATAAACTCTAATTGAGTTTTAATTGCGACTGGGTTCATTAGAAAAAATTTACCACATTTACACTATAGGTTAAATCTAAGCGGGTTAAAACAGATAAGTTGAATTATAACCTGTTCAAAAATTATTTGAGTTAAAATAAGCTAAAATTTGACGCCATACTCTTGTCGTTTGAAATGTTACTTCAATAGTCAAATCACGATTTAGCATTATATATCTCGGATTATGAATTGTGATTAACAAATTTAAGCCAGCCTAATTAAGATAAATGAGTGAAACTGAGTCCAAAATTTTAGCAGTGTTCTCATACTAAAGTTTTGTTAGGTAGAGAAAGATTACGTCATTTTATTAAAATTCATATAAAAATAATTGCGAAGAGATTAAAAAGTAATCTTTTCATTCGAAATCATATAAAGATAATTCCTACTCGATATTAATGCAACTGAAATTGCTGGCTAGAATTAGTTGGACCTTTAGAATGTTTGAATAAAACAACAACCTAGTATTTTATGCATGTGTTTTTAGGCAACAAAGACTAGACAATTAAGAAAAAATAGCAGCATTTGAATTCTATATAGCAGCCAAGAATTGAAGTCCGCAGACTATGGAAGTTTTATATGACACTTTTCCTTTTTTAAATCCATCAATGACACATTATTATATTTAGTTCCAACTCATTTTACGAGATGATTTATAATGACACAAACAGACAAACATCTATGACTTACTTTAGATCATAAATTTGAAGTCTTTTTTTCATGAACTTTGTGTCTAGTCAAAGTACATCATATAAATTGATACGGAGCGAGTCCATCCCCACTAATTTCAGTTTCCAGGAACCTTCTTCAATAGCGCAGCCATTAACACAGAGGCGTTTTCTTTCTTTAATTAATACTACAAAGGTTTCCAAATTGGCTTCAATCAAACTTGTACCAAGTTTCCTATTGATTCAGTCAACCCGCACCTTACATAAATAATACTCTACCACATATTATTTCTTTATTCAATGTCTCCAATTTAAGAGAAAAACACTACTCTACTAGTGATATATGATAACCTCATCCGTATACAGACCACCTCAAATATATACTCTCTCCATATCAATTTATATGATACCGTTTGACTTAACAGAAAATTTAAGAAAAAAAGGTTAACTTTTGAAATTTATTATCGAAAACAAAACTTATACATTTATGTGGCTACAAACCATTTAATTAAAGAACAATTTCAAATAATCAATGTGAACGTCAACAATAGTTCCTAGCTAAGAAGAGAGTGACAAGCAAGGTACTGATCCCCCCAAAAACAAAAACAGAAAAGCTAAATGACCAGATTCATCATCCCTCTCTAACCAGACAACCTAGGTGTGGTATGAATTTAAACTCGAAAGAACACTCATATATTGCAGCACATTCTGTGACAAGGAAAGAAATGGCTAAATGCATATGGCAGCAGGATCAACAAGTGACGATGAGGTGCAAATTTATTCACTCCGTCCCTCCCCGTGTGGAGGCCTTACTTGTCTTTCAGGCTGGCTTCATCATTATATTTATACATATAATCTTTACTCTCTACGGGTAATTTTGTTTGTTCTAGTGTAACAATATGTTACTATTTCCTAACAGAACAGGCACAAAGCAGGATTCAACTACTTTTTTCAAAGGGGGTTGAGGTTGGGTGATGGACTAGAACACAAACTGAAAGCAAAGCACAAAAAGTATCCAACTGGGAGGTTGGAACTAATTTCATATTTGAGGACAGCAGATTCTATGGCAAAAGATTTTGCTAGAGAGGGTTCAAACAACATTTAGTTGCCAAAGCAGAAGGCAACCAGATAGACAAAAGCACTCAACGGAAAGAAAAGGCATCATAGTCAAAACTGCTGATGCTGAAGAGAAGATATATCCAAAAGAACATAAAGAAACTGAACTACGAATCGAAGTTCAAAATATGAAGAGGATAAACTGCAGGAAGATTATAGAAAGGGAATGTGTGTGTGTGTGTGTGTGTGTGGGAGTGCAAAACATGGAAGTGTTTCGTAGAAGCAATTGATAAAAGCAAAGAGACAGAGATAAGAAAAGTTACATTTATTACAGTTGCATTTACAGTACTAATTCTGACAATAAGAACATGTCAATGAAAGATATACACAATGCCATTCACAACAGGTAAAGAGGGAGGATCTACTAAACCAAACAACTGCTTCATAGGCACACCAATGCAACAATATAGATCTACAGACGAATGGCGCACATAACTGCAGTTTTGAAATCCAAAGGGTGCTGAAAAGGTGACCTTGTAGTGACAGACCTCCATGACTTCGTCCTAGGATGGTATATCTGTACAAGCATAGTTGACCTTTTCTGCTGCCTTAATCTTTGGCACTCCTTTGATTTAACCCCATTTAAATGAGATATCACATGCAGCTCCCCATCCAATGCAACAAAGCCAACAGATGATTCATCAGATGTTTTTCTTGGCAGACTTGTTTCCTTTATCCAACTGTTGGAAGCCATTATATAGCTACAAATGCAACAAAGGACAAGAAAAATGTAAGATACGAAACACTAGGCCTTCATGTGGACACTGACAAATTGACGAAATTTCCAAGTATTGTGAAACTAACAGAGTATAGGCGGTAGCCACACGCAAATAGGCAATCAGACCCTACAGAATCTGTTCTAGCTAAATTAGGGTTGAATATAAATTCGATGAATCAGATGTATATGCATATTACCAAGAACTCTAAAGTTTTCTTTCAAAGAAAAAAAATCCTGAAACTCAACATCAAATAACCAAAGTTTCAAGTTCTATCATGAGGTTTAACAGAAAATACATGGATAAGCTTCTAATTAGAAGCTTTCTAAAAGCTGTGTACTTTGAAGACTGCATATGATAGTGGTGAACCAACACAGCCACAAAATAAATAAAATTTTAAAAGAGCACATTTGTAATACACCCAAAAATATACTCAAAGAGTTATCTTTTTCCTGTTTGCTATCCCGTCCGACATTACAGGATCTGTTAGTATCTCCCATGAAGCAGAGACCAATGATGCACCCAAGAAACATTATTTTGACAAACCTCAGAACAAACAAGCTACAGTCAGATCAACCACTTAGTCATATCATACTCCTTATAAACAAAAACAAATGTAGACATATTCCTGCATAAATATTATGACTCATACACAAAAAATTGAGTCTTCAAGTTCATATTATAATATGAACAATGAGTTGTTCTTCACCTATCCAACATAACTCAACATAATGTTCCACCACTATGTCCACTATTCATATACCATAAAAGTTGAATAAATTTTCAAATTACATGCAATAAAACAGGACAAGTGAGCATTCTTGCATTTCAGAAAGATACACACACATATATACTACTTGCTAACTGTGTTTCAGGTAGATAGGCGAGAAATGTTTATTCCATGTAAAAGAAGTGAACTGAACCTATTTCACTAAGAAATTAATGACGTACAATTTCCGCCAATCCTTTTTTTGCCCATACCCAACGAAATCTATATGATGTCGAGGAATGATTTATCTGTTGGCATCAAAAACTTTAAAACCCACCAATGTGGTCATCAGTTAACCAACGGTATAAAGACGAGTCATAAACCATATCCACTTACATTTAGTTCCATTGACTAATATGGTGTTCAATAGAGGAACCAAACAGATTGTTGTAATCACAATAAGGTGGAAAAGGCTAAATACCTGGATAGCCCCTTAAACTCGGCGAGTTTTGTAAGTTAAGACACACCAAGTTAACTAGTGACCAGATAGACACTTTTACTTGACAAAAGTGTCTTGTGAACATTTGTATCTATAAGAGTGTCGAATATTAAATGAGCAAATTAACTAATGACAGATGTAATTTTTTCTAAAAAGATGTCACATGGTAATTATATTTTTTAAAACGTTAAAACAACAAGAAAGAAAGAAAAATACATGGTAATCCTCAACTGCACACTACTCCACCGTTCCATCTTTTCACTACCATTTTTAGCCTCCTCCATTGAAGACCCACAATCTGAGAAGCTCAGAAACTCTCTATGAGTGGTGCTTTAATTTTGGAGAGGAAGAGAAGTTGAAAGAAAAATAGAAGAGGAAGGCGAGAGGTCCAAATTGGTTTCAGAGATGGCTAAAAATCTTATAGTTTAAAGATTACGCAAAAAAAGTGGCATTCTAATTGTTAGTATATTCTTGATTGATGATTAGCTTAGGTACGATATTATCTTCATAAAAGGATAAGTATGGTTATTGATTAATTATTTTCAAATAATTTACGTCCCTTTGGCAAAACCATAGAGATAGAAATAACTTGAGATTTTTAGGGAAGCTTCGGCACTTGTTTCCGGCCATAAATGGAAGTGATTAGCGTTGAGAGGTTTGCCAAAGGGGTACAGAGTCACAATAACAATGGCAATAAAAGGAAAAGATCATTTATGGGAGTAACGTACAATGGATTTGGTTTGATCTTGTGTTCATTAATGTTTCCCATGAGTGATACCCAATTGGGTGTTCTCAGTGGCATTTGGATTTCTAATTTCTTTTCCTTTTTTGGATGAGGTAAGTAAACTTGATTGAAGCAAGTGCCAAGGAGATAATGCAAAAGGGAAAATTACAGAATTACAAAAGTCTCCAGGAGACATTGCGAACAATTATCTCAATGAGTCTACGGAAGGCATCTGGGTAAAAATTTGAGACAAAAAACATAATGAGCTTTTATTCTTGGCTTTTGGTTGAAAACAGTTTGCAACAAAATGAAAAATAAAAAGTTCTTTTTTTGTTAAAAGTTGTGCATTGAAGATCAGCATCGAGAAGATTCTGTCCCGTGAATTGAGTAATGAGCCTAGAAAGTCAATCGAAAGAAAAGGAAAGTAATTTGGTAGAACTCTTTCGAATTTTCGACAAAACTGGGTCAAATCTAAGTATAGATAAAAAGGTGAAAAGTGATTTGTACGCATCTGTCTATACATTAATGACAGTCACCCAATATCTCTTTTCAGTTCTCACAGGAGGTAGTAGCAAACCGATTTAGTAAAGTGCGCGCCAAACTGGCTTGGACACCACCATTATCCAAAAAAATTAAACCAAACATCACTCTACTGACCAACTCTAATAAAAATATTTCAACTACTCAAAAGAAGAAAACATAAATCACAAATCAGGGCATCAAACAAAGATACCAAATTGTCACCTAGTGCTTAATTCCTTGCCTTACTAGGTTATCCACCCCTTTCCCAGGAAAAAGACACAATACCGAGGTAGGATATTTCACCAAAATCGACTCTTAGATGCACAATGTATTAGACTTGTCATAGTGATGTTGCAATAACTACGCTAGATGTGTGGTTCCTTAATTTACTGAGTTTCAGTCAATGAATCAAACAAACCTCAATGCAAACTAGTCGGTGTAAGTAGTATGAATCCTCTATGTCAATTCCATAATTTTCGGGTGCATACAATTCCAATACTATTAATTAATTCTTTCTTAAAGGTTAATTAAGGATTCTCTGAAACTAACAGTTTCATAAAGCTATTCCATAACTATACCTGAAAATATCTCCTCGGTCGAGCATGAATACTGCAGGAGCTTCCGAAGGCACATCCTCAACCACAACAATCTTTCCAAGCTTCCACCTTTCCCCTTCTTCCCACATATCCCCAAGCTCCCTCCACTTCCCACCATTCTTCATTTCCATCACTAAAACACCCCTATAATATTGATCCACAGGAAACACCCCGGAGACTGTCCTCGACTCGCCATATCCACCCATCACCCAAAATTCCCTCTCCTCTCCATTCCCAACAAAGAACCCAACACACCCTGCTCTAAACCTAGGTAACCCATCCAATGCAACCCACTCATCTTTCCCAATATCATACATCTCCACTGAACTCATCCTACTACCAGCCGCCCCAAACATCGTATGCCGAGACCCACCACCCGCCACCAAAATCTTATCAAAATTAGGTGCCGCAGCACACGCAAAACTCCCCCTAGGGTTAATCATAGGCGCCAACGTCTCCCATGAAAAAGTTCCAAAATCAAACCTAAAAGCAGAGGATGAAGGACATGGGTAATCAAGAGGGTAAGATCGTGTATCAAAAAGCGACCCACCTAACACATACAAATGAGAGCCGATACAAATCGAAGTGAAATTACAAAGCCCATATACATGAGGGTTACAAGGCATAGGTGGAAGTGGAGACCACGCAAGATTTCTAGGGTCAAACAGGTACGGCGAAGCAATTAAAGGATCTTGTGGGAATATACAGAGAAGGGGAGACAGAGTAGATAGTGGGAGATGCTTTTGCCGCAGAGAAATGATGGTTTTGGAAGAGAAAAAGTGCTTCCATGATTTACAAATGGATTTGAGACGTGAATGATGAGAGTAAGGAACGAATACAAGTATAATCGCTGCTAAATCGTTTGGAAGACCAGGGATTATAGTTGGGTTTATGGTTTGTAGTTGAGATTCTTGATTTGTAACAGTTGTTGAAGAAGGAAGAGCCATGGGTTAATCTGAATGAACCCCAACAAACTTTTGCTTCTTCTGTATGAGAAAAAACCCAATTTTTTTGTGGCGACTTAAACATAGAGAGGATGAGAATCTTACCCCGGTTCAATCAACACAATTTTTCTGCTATGTCATCAATGGCGGTTGGGACAATTGAAGAATCAGAGATACTGGTGGAGTTTGCTTCTTCAAGAACTTTTTGACTTAAAAAAATATACCCCACACAGTGACACACAACATAAACTTCTGACTTTGAGAAAAATAATAGTAAATAATACACATTTGACACAAAATAAGTTTTCGTCCTCTCAATTTATTTGTTCTATTTTAACTCGAAGGAAATTAGAGAATTTTCCAAAAGGAAGTTTGAATTTTACGCTGAGTATATATATATATATATACGACCTCGTACTGTTTTAGGATATGATGATCAATTTTGGCCACGTAACACTGTACTTGGATGTCTCAAAGAACTTTGGAGTTGTTTTTTTTTACTTGAGTGATAAGGAAATTTAATTCGATTCAAATGCTTAATGCTTGGTTAATTTTTTATAATAAAAAACTCTATATTACTCACCAATATATTCTTCTTATATTGCTTCCGATGTCATACTTTTATTCATTTTAGGCATTGTGTCACATTCCTTTATTATACTTTAATACCTGACCAAATCTCTTGTGATTTTTTCGTTTTTGTTGTTCAGGTATATTCAAAATAAATGTACTTGAGTCTCTAGCTTGTTTTCTCCATATAGACAACACTTCTACTGGAATTTTCAGTATGATCATCCCCTCTTTAGTTAGCAGTTTTTCCTAATTTGTTAGTCATATAATAAATCTATGTCTAGGCAACATGAGTGAATACAATATCAAATCCGCTACATGTAGTTTTAGTTGACTACCCAGTAATTGGCTGTTCTATAGCTCACATTATATACTCCTTTGGTCAATAGACAATAGGTTTCATAAGTATACCACATTATCATAGTTTAATGGAGTTAATTAAGCTTCCTCCAGTATCAGCTGCTATTCTTAGAGGGTGTATGTCTAACAAATGGTATCAACATGATGTTTTTGAAATTAAAAATCAATTTAATGATTTTATAAAATCTAGTAAATATATTTATGTTAATGAAAAGAGAAATATGTATTATTTGTTAGACAACAAATATTCACCATTTAAAAAAAAAATATATATCCGCACTATATCACAAAATTGAGGGATATATTTTCCTAACTTCTAAAATAAAATTAGTTATAGAATTCATCACTAATTTAATATTAATACTCAACAATTAACAAAAGAAAAAAATTTAGATAAAGTATCACTATGTGTGATTTATTTCAACTAATGCAAAGTGCACTTTGCCACTTTATCTAATTTTCTCCGAGCGAAGTGCACTGACTTGTTGATGCTTCTTTCTGAACCAAATAAAAAATAATTTTTAAAAGTAATAATGTAGAATACGAAAAATAAGTAAATAAGAGGAGAAACTCAAACACAGTTTATTTAACTATATAGCTAGTTATATTATTACTCATTAACTATTTGCTTTGCTTATAAATATCTTTATTTGATTTAAGTGTTTTCATGTCATAAGTTATTTAGTATCACAGAAACTTTATGTCCAACAATATCATTTATGTTAATATTTTAAAATTAGATGGTAAAATTTTAAAAAATAAAAAGTACAATATACTTTTAAAAGTAGATTGGACTGGTGTGGCCTTGATATATATATAACATGTGTGTAACATACACTTACAGACATAATACGTACCAAATATTCATTAGGATTGTATCACCGTCATGTATATCATGTATATCAATATTCACTGTTCAAAGTTTTCTTATCGAATCAAATGATAGTCTTGTTGAGACTATATTTATTGTTTGATTATTATTGGGATATTGATTGATGATCTCAAATGTCATGAACCAAATCATCTAAATTAAATCATGATGACACCTACATCTCAATTTAACAGAAGAATCATTTTCTAATATTAGCAAGCACAAAGAAGCATCCGAAAAGCTATAGTCATAAGGAAGTCTTGAATAACCATAGTGCTAAAACATAAATAATACTACCTCAAAATCTTCCAGGCAACAAAATTTCAGCAAAACACAAAGGTCTAAGTTACGACATAAATCATGTCTAGTATATCAGGTTACACAAATCTTTCAAATTCAATCCATTGGGAGAATTGGCCCATGACCATCTTTTATTTTTGGAAAAATCACCAAATTACACAAATATTTCTAGGAAAAATTACAGAAATCCCAATTTCTATCATATTTACTAATATTTTTCTATAATTTAAGATAAATATATTTATCTCACTAATTAATATTTCATACCAGATTTCAAGTCAGATGCACCTAAATACTTGTTGTTTGCTACCAGATACGCTGAAATAGGGAGAGAGGCGAGCGAGATTTTTCTACATATATCTTAGATACATGCAAATGACACTGGATACACTAGATACATATGTATCTTATGTGATTCACATGTATTTGGAATACCAAATACATGAAGGAGATAGGAGAGCGGCGAGCGAGATATGGGAGGGATCCGAGCTAGATTTGTCTATATATCTCATATATATGCAAATCCACTTGGATACAATGTATTTAAAACAACTTACCGTTAGTTTTGATCTCATATATCCCTAGATAATATATGTATCTGGACGTATCTAGACGTAGCTGGACACATCAAAATCCAATAAGATTCATAATATTGCTAGCTAATTAGCGTGTATCTAAGTAATTAACTCTTAACTAGTGAGATATCTCTAAGTTACCTTCTTTTTTTTTTATAAAGCATACCCCTTCTAATCATATAATGCCACCATGTCACATCATAAATGAATCAACTTTATAGCAGGAGGATGCAGGCTTAAGCTAAATTAATTAAGAATAGATCAATGAAAACATTAATTGTTTGTGTTGTAAATGACAGTATGATTTGGTAATGGTTGAGTGCAGTAGTAGTTAAGATCAGTCACGTAGTTATCGACCATGACATTTTCCCTAAATCTTCTATATATTCAAAAAAAAAATCTTCTTTTGTTTTAATTAACTTCTGACTAATCACCGCTTGAGCTGGTAAAGACTTTGTCAAAAAAGATCAAATCTTTGTCCATCTCATGTAATAACGTGACGTTTGGACTAGACAATTTCTAGTTCTATTTTATTTTTATTTTTTTTAATAATTGATTTGTTATGAGAGGATTGATTTTAGTTTTGTCTTGTTTGTTCAACATTAAAATAAGGATTGTTATTAGAGAGACAAGTTATAAAAGGGATGACAAGACCACAGGTGTTTCGTTTATGTTTTTGCATTTTGTCTTCTCATTTCTTTTGAACCACTTCAATCCTTTTTGTCTCCTCATCAAAGTCAAGGACCAAAAAAAAAATTGCTTGGCAACATTTCATGAGGAGATTTAAGTTTTGCATGGTGTTGTGTGATCAGGAGGTCATGGGCTTAAATTTTGAAAATAGTTTTTAGTAGAAATGCAAGGTAAGATTGAATATAATAGACCTGATGGTCGGATCCTTACCCAAACTCTATCCATAGCGAGAGTTTTAGTGCACTAAACTGACTTTTTTTATTCATTAAAAATCAAGACTTTGTAAACTTTGGATATTATTATCAGTATATAGGGGAGAGATGTGTGAAGTGTAGTTAAATAGTAAACCCAATTTGCTCTCTCTAGTGGCTTATAATATTAGATGAAATAGTCATACTATTTCATATGACATTATATTACATTATTAGAAGAGGTCCTGAATTCAAGTTTCATTGTCATTTATTATCAAAAAGACTTTCCTATATATTTGGCCATGGAAAACATACGTGTTAAAGCAACACCAAGTAATTAAAAGTGTTGGGTATATAGTAAGAATTAAGATAAAATGAGGGAATATAAAGTGTTCTCTTATGCTTTAGTAAAAAACAATTCTTCCACCACCACAATTCTTCCTCGTTGGTGGTGGAAAGAAAAGTTCAAATGTTTAAATATGGAAACACTTCTAGTAGTTGTCTAAAGTGTTGAGAAAAGGGTTCCCTCTTGCTATCTCTCGGGCTTTTAGAATCGTTCTATCTTGGGAGGATCTATTCTTTCTATTGTGTGCATATAGTGGGCTCGATTATTTTTCCTTTCTGTTTCATCCTACTACAATGTGCATATAGTGGGCTCGATTATTTTTCCTTTCTGTTTCATCCTACTACAATGTGCATATAGTGGGCTCGATTATAGATCCTGATATAAATATTTGATAAGTACAAATTAAATAACAAAAAATACATTATCTATGACCTCATAAGTTTTTAAACTTTTATGGTAATAGCACAATTTTAAAAGAAAAATGCCTTGTAATTAGGATTAAAATGAGAAGCCCTGATAGTGATAAGAATTACTCGGTCAAATTAAAGTAGAAATTGTGATAATGAGTCCTATTAACAGATTTTCCAACAAAACTTTATAGCTTATACAATTACCCAAAAAGAATGGCATGAATTTTAGAATAATCTAAGGGCACTTGCTTAGTATTTAATACTAATATATACACAAAAGTGTCTTTATAAATAAATCAGCTGGCCTGCAAGTGAGTCTGAGATAGGAGCATATATTCAAATGAGTACCTGGTTAATTAATAAGACCATGAAATAGTCTTTGTATAACAAGCTTTTATTTATTTTTGATTAAGATAATAAATAAATGTCATATTCATGCAACCAAGTCTATGAAAAAGGAGAAGTAGAAATATAGAAAATGGAGAAATATTGTGTACCCAGCCAAGACTACTAAGCCTTCTTGTGGGTTTGGTAGGAAGGAAAACATTTTATGTTTTTTTTTAAAAAAAAAAAATTATGTTTGATTGAACAATTCTTTTTTGGAAAATATTCTTTTAGGAAATTAAGTTTCTTAAAAATGAGGAAAATGACTACTTTAATAAGAATAGGGAAAACGAAGTTACATAAGTATCAACATTTCACATTGATTGTATCTTCGTCACACTCCAACATACTTCATCTTCACCCCATTCTTGTAGTCCCTATCCCTGCTACCTGACATTCCTGGTCCACCCCACCTCTTATAATATTTGTCTAGATTATATACAAATATTTTAAAGATAATTTTCTTACTTACGTATCAAACACAAATAATAGTAATAATAATAATAATAATAATAATAATAATAAATTCACTTATTTTTCTAGAAAATATTTTCCTTCGTAACAAACTCAAGCACATCAAATATGATAGATTTGCATATTTCATAAATTAGTATAAATAGTTAATTCACATACACGAGTGTCTACTATATATTTTCTTTTATATTTTTCCAACAACACATACCCACATAGATTTAATTAAATTACTATATATATAGTTGCTTATTAATTGGAATCAGACTTGATTTTGATGCATCTGAGATCATAGCTTGAATCATCATTACCAAAACCTTTGGCATTTTATTTTTGTTTCTAAGAAGCAGCCAGTATATACATAGTTAAACAAGAAGTAATTTTCATTAAAGATTTTTTAGAATAATTAATTAAATTGGGTGATATAATTGCATGGTGATGGAGACTGTGATGACACAGAGATAGTGAACGTGTGAATTTAATTAAATCCCTAATAACTATAATTAAAGAAAAAAAAATCGACTCAATATTGTTTTTTGAACAGACAAAAAGAAACAACAAAAACTGTAATGTTGATGGATCATTTTTAATTTTTACATCATATCCTATCGTTATCATGGTCATGGGGGAGGCATCCTTTGTCTTTCCTCAGCTCTATTAAAAATACATTTAAAGTATTTTAGTTTTTTGAATTTTATATTTAAATTATTAGCTGTGCAATTTTTTTAAACCTAAGTATCATAAATTATTTATCAAAACATTTATTTCATCCTTTATTATTTTTACCTTTTTAATATTATATATATCTTCTTTCTCTTTTTAATCTATGTTGTGAATTTATTTAACTATAGAAAATCTTATTTATAAGTCACTTAAGTGTAAAGAGTTTTCAACATATATACTATGTAATAATAAAACAATATTTATTTGTTCTATTGGTAAGTCCATAATATAGATTTAAAAGAGAAAATAATATATATATTATTAGATTTGCTGTGAGTATGTATAATAAATACAGTATTTATTTAAATTGGGGATATGTCAGAGGAATCTATGAGGAAGCAACAATACGAGGTTTATATGTTTTTTTTCCCAACATAGCTAGTTGTAGTATTAAAAAGGTTTGGTTTAGGAAAGTCTCCTCCCACCCCCTCCCTTCAGCCACACACTCTATTGTACTTTCATAGCTAATAACTCTCAAAGGTAAAATAGAATAAAATAATATTATTATTTATATATTGATTTTTTGAAATGACAAGTATTAAAGAACGTCTATTTTTAAAAAATAAAAACAGAGAGCATATAAACGGAAAAAAGCAGGTTTTAATTTTTTTAAGTAAGATACATGTAAACAGCCGGCCTGTAAATTGAAATAACAAATAAAGCTACATTTATTATCCAACCCTCCCCCACAATTTTTCAAAATAGAAAGCCCATAAATTGTCTCATCTTCCCTCATACGCTAATTACTCATTCCCATTATTGATTAAATAATAATCAATCAGATCAAATCAAATTAAGGAAGACTCCAGTATGATGAAGAACTCGTCAACTCATGAAGAAGTTGAGCTTCAACCAAAACATCAAGAAAACGGTATAGGTCGATCTTATGAGTGTGTTTTTTGCAAAAGAGGATTCAATACTGCTCAAGCTTTAGGCGGTCACATGAATATTCACAGAAAAGATAGAATCAAAATAACCAGACCAAGTCAAACCAACAGGCCTTACCTGACATATTTTTCGGGCCATACATCTACGGCCACTAAAGGCCCGTTTGTTATGAACGGGCCTGATAGTGGATCTGAAGATAATAGGCCGCAGTGTCTTAATTTGTTCGGAGATGATTGGCGTATATTGCAATTTGGTGAAAATATGGAAAAGAATAAGGGGATATTAGAAGATGATTTGGATTTGGAGCTTCGATTAGGCCATGATCCTTAATTAATTGTACGTTCATGATTAGCGGTGCAGATATTGGTAAGTTGTATGTATATATGTTGTACTAAAATAATTACTATGATATGTTTGTTTATCTGAAAATTTGCCCAAACTATATATTTAGGGTTTTGTGTGCTTATTAGCTAGGTAGTACTGTATTATCCGTCATTCCCCTATTTTTTACTACGTACTAATAAATAAGAATTCTATTTATGTTTTTGCAATTTCTTTCCATAATTCCATTGGATATATGTTAAGTTATTTCTGATTTTGTGGGCTTTGTGTTTTTCTAATCATTTTGTTGGCTAATCAAGCAGTATAGCGTCCATTTTGCTTCTTCTTTTTTTCCCTTTTTTTACTCAGTGTTCAGAGTCCGTTTTGGAGCCCTAACTAAATTTGAGTCCATTCAGGTATGATGCTTGTAACAAGACTTTTTGTCATACCTAAAAATCGAACCTGAAACCTCTAATTAAGAGTGAAATTATTCCACCACTGCATTGCATTTGTAGTATCTATGCGCCAATCATTGCTTTTGCATTCAACTAATTAAAATTTGCTTATATATATAGATGGTATAAGATGTTAAATATAGGGAACGTCTCTTGGAAATGCTTACCCGCTAGACATACTCAATTCTCCCGTTCTTTTTTTCACTACAAAAGATGTACTCAGTCTGTTTCAATTTAATTGCCTTAGTTTCCTTTTTAGTCGATTTCAAAAAAGAATGTATCTTTTCTTTTTGACAACTCTTTAATTCTAACATCTCATGCACGGGATACGTTTAAAACTACAAAATTTAAGATATTTTGGTACATTCCATAATGACTACAAGATTCAAAAGTCTTTGTTACTTTCTTAAACTTTATCAAGTCAAAACCAGACAAAGCAATTGAAAATATTTTTGTGTTTTACTACATAATTAATACCTTTCTAGTGCTCTTTCTTGTGTTGTTTAGACTTCTTTCAATCTCTTAGTAAAATGGGCGAAGGTATTCTGTCTAAATAGTAGACACAAATAATTTTAAAAAAATAATTAGCAAATAAAATATAATTTGTTACTCAATTGGGGGATTTCATTACAACTTCTATCTAGTTATGAGTAAAGAAGGAAAGGTAGTTTCAAAGAAGCCTTCCTTTGATTGCTGCTTTTAATGTGCTTTCTAATCTGTTTCTGTAAAGAAAGGAAAAAAGAGAGGATAAGTCTTTTAATTAAACGGTCTATATATGTTGATCACTTAAAAGCAATTGATTATCCTATCAAATTGAGTTAAAGTATCTATAATGTTAGTGTAAAGAAAATTATACACTCACATACTTATCTGTTGGAACAGGTAGCTTATTTTATTTCTCATATGGTGCTTGGTAAATACTTTAAAGTTTCGATTGATTTGAATTTGCATTAAGTACGTTTAACAAAATGGAAAAATGCTCTTATATATCCGTCTGATTGATTAAGGATAAAGGCATCCTATATATATATCTACAATAACTATCAATCGGTGTTGGTATCAATCAATTTTTAAGAATATAAATTTCACTTTTTATAAAGGTATATCGATAGAAATTCTTTCAGCTGATAGTATAGAGAATTCTTTAAACTTATATTGCATGTAAGTTAAACTATTACGCTACATCTTAAGAAATGTAGTCTCTAAATCTATGTTGGGTCTCATTTATGTGAAGAAATTTGAGACAATTGCATATAATAAGATAATTTAATTGTTCCTCAAAATATGTATATTCTTGTTCTCACTCTACCAAGTTAGTCTGGAATTGGATATTTGAACAATAATATGGGGAAAATATGGGACATGATGTTATGGACAATTATATTATATGGAAACTAGTGGAATTTGGCAACTGTCGTACTCATATACTCGTACTTGTATGATCACAAAATATGTGGTTAATTGTATATCCTATAGATCATGTCTTATGTCACGCTAGAGGAATTAATATACAGGTTGTTACATGGGGTGACAATTATATAGTTCCAAAATAGTGCTCTTGTAATTCCAAGGTACTTTATTGTTCCATTGACTAAAAAAAATTATATATTAATTCATCACCAATAAGTTGTGAGCTAATATTGTGTATATAATATAAGAGATTTAACTTGACCCCTAGACCCTAGAATGTAATATATAAGCAAAAACTTACAAATAATTAGTGGGTACATCGACCTTACCTTTAATAAGCAAAACAATAAATAATAGTTGAAGTCAATCTTCAAAGGAAAAACACTAGCAACCTATGTATGTATCCTTTCAATAAAAATAAAGAGACTTAACTAAGAAACAAATTATATTTCTCGTATGACCTTCTAAAGATATGTAATTGTCACGCCCCAATCCTAGGTTTAGACAAAATCGACACTCCATGTTTTAATTTGTTTGAGCTGAGACAAATATCTTATTATCATAAGCAAAGTTTTTTAGAAAGAAAGAAATTCCATTCGTAAGCTTTCATTTAAAGAAAAAAATGTAATATCCAATAAAATAGAAAGTTTTGCCAACTTTACAATTATGAATATACTAAACTCGTTTAATCTATGAAGCCTCTAATAAATAATGAATAAATTGTTTGACTAGGATAATGCCCCCGACATACCTATGACCAACAAAAAAAACTGAAATAAAAGTACCCTAAACTATAGAAGAACAAGAACTCAAAGGGGTCGGCTTAATAAGTAGTGTGTCATATATCATAAAACTGCAAGAATTTTCTATATGCACAACATATTATTCATTTAAAAACAATATAAAAACAACAAGCACCAGTGGTCTAGTGGTAGAATAGTACCCTGCCACGGTACAGACCCGGGTTCGATTCCCGGCTGGTGCAACATTTTTAATTTTATCTTTTATCTTTTCAAACACGGTAAAAGTATCTGTTGCATCAAAAATATCTTCATACAAAATTTTTACACTGAGGAATTGGAAGCAGAATTTTGAGTAAACACAACATCATCTTCTGCAAACAAAATCACGACACATCCCAATTTTCAATGCTAATTACCTAGTGAGATAGTATACCACCAAAAAGAGGACAACAAATGAGGCTACTAGTGTAAACATTCTTTGGCTTGATTTAGTCTCAAATACCTGGAAAAGGCAAGGAAACAATTTTAGATTCAGCTTACACGTCAAGGCTAGGGCAAAATTGGAATAAAGGTTACATACCATCTTAAATTTATCCATTGTGCCAGATAAAACTCCCCTTGAAGAATCCATATCATTACCCTGAACAGCCAAACAAGAAAAGCTCACACGAATTTTCAGGCATACAACAAATATAAAAACTTGAGGTAAGTTACATAATTGAAGTGGGCTGACCATTCTGTCCAGCATCCTATTATGAGTATCCACTTCCTCATGTATATCACCTGATAACTGTTGGATATAAAGCTTCATCAGAACAAGTCTAAAAATCTTCAAAAGTTCAAGATGCTCATTGTCAACAACACAGCTATGACACACATTCAGTGATGATGTAGAAGAGAAAGAAACTTAAGAAGAAACTCAAATACTTAAGTTGCAACTTAAAGAGAACAGAGTTTTTCCAACCTAATGCAATAGTTAAATAGCCATGACAATAACTAGGTTGAGAAACTTAGAAGAACTCAAACACTTAATTAATTCTTCACTTTGAGGAAGATTGTCTATATTTTACCCCATCAGAGATCAAATAGTTGGGTTCTGTCTACTACTTCTTAAGAAAAAACTTTCCCAAAGGAGCCTCAATTACCCTTTAAGACTTAAGAGTGGTCTACTCTCAAAGAAGACAACCAAAATAATTGGTTTTTCACATGGCAGTTAACATAGACAAAAATAAAATTTAAACTGGATAAAGCTAATAGCTTCTACGTCTGCAGGACTTACTCTTTTCAGCAGATTAACTCTATCTTGTAGCCCGTCCATTGCTTTCTCATTCTCTTGTTCATCTATTTCATGTGAAGCATATGATGACGAAGCCCTTATACCACCTTCTTCAATACCATCAAATAGTGCTGCTCTGTTGCTATGTTCCCTAAATTCAAGGATTGTTAAGCAACTATAGGAAGAGATAGGTGCAAATAAGAATGTTCCTTTACATTACAAGAACAAAAGCAGCCCTGCTTATAGAATAACCCCACCCCAGTAGAATAGCATGGATAAGGCTCGAAACAAAGTTGTCACTTCAAGTTCCTTTTTTGGGGGGTCTCTACTTGCCATTTCAAATTACCCCCCCCCCCTCCATGCCAAATATGAGAGTCTATGGCTGTGACAGAAATGATTCAAAGCTGGATCGAGCCTATAGCCCCATGTTTACATCTCATGCCACATAAAAGGAGGAAACGGGCACGGGCAGCATTCATGTCCGGTGCACAATCAGGATATTAATCATAACATTTTCTTTTGATAGTACGAGAGAATTTTAGTCATAGATACTACAGCAACTGAAAGTTCGTATCCGTCCTACTTAATCTGAGGACTTTAAGAAACAAATTGATTTAGCAATTGGGTTAGGAGAATGATAGTAATCACTAATAAAGCTTTCATAGTACCCGAATTAGATAAAAGTCAACTCTATGCCACCTAATTACACATTTTGAGGCCCTTTCCAAGGTCATATGTATTTGCAGAGGAAGGAAGTCATCTTTGGTATGGAGCACTTTACCCCTATAGCAAGACTTTCCGGCATGAGGATTAGTCACGCCAAAAGTGGACACCGGACATCAGGTCTAGGAAAACCACATATATCTTTGAGAATATCATTGCCCATCTAGTACATAAATTGGTGTAAAATAGTAATCTGTGTCGTAATAAATTATGAAAGAGAACTGACAAGATTCTTAAACCTACTTCAGAAAAACACAGGAAATCTTCTTTGAACGAGAAAAAAGAAAAGATTAGTGAAACATATATCATTATGGCCTAAGTAATATCAAACTAGGTCTATTTAGTCCACTGTCATGCAGGTCAAATATTGTTTGAGAAGAGGTAAAATTCAGCTACACGACCAATGAGGATTCGCATAGACAACCCGAACTTGCTTAGGATTTTTTAACATAGTAGTAGTTGTTGTTAAAGTATTATAAGAACCACGCTAGATGGAGAAATGCATCCTACTATCATGTGAATATTCTGATTACCACAATTATCAACCAATCAACCAACTATACTTCAATCCTAAACTAGTTGAGTCGATGATATACATATCAATCCTCTGTATCTACATCCACCCAATGCAGGCCCATTCACCAAAAGTATCAATGTAATCCAAAAAAAATACATCTGATCCTATCTCGATATAAGTAAAAGGTATCAAATGATTGAATCTGTGCTACTAACATGATTAATATTACGAATCAAATGAAAAATCATTGAAACCAAACCTTCGAGAATTCATGGCTAACGGAGATTGGAGGTCGCACTCGGAGTGATTTGAAACTTTTGTTCTGGTGGATCACAACACGAAACCTGTAAGCTAATTACAACAATAGATCAATTATTTAGCCCATCAATATCCTAATTATCAAACTAACAACCCTAGTTTACAGATGCGAGAAATCAATTGAAAATCAAACACAAATCAGAAGATAAAATGACGCGTAATCGTACATCAATTCATCGGAAAACAGAGTTTCAGATCTGCCGGAGAATTTTGGTGGAGATTACCTGCCGTCTGCAGCTGATCGCCGACTTCAGTGAAGATACTGTATAAATTCCTTTTGCTTACTACCGGGAAGATTAGGAAAGCCAAATCAGTTACAAGTTGAAGTTGCCGCTTTTAAAAAATAACTATATCCGTTTATTTTAAAGTAGAATTTATTATTTATATTGGAGTAATTTTTATCTATAAATTTTAATTTACCAAAATGGTTAAAGTTTGAAATCGGAGAGAATGATTTTATAATATATTTCAAAAATTGATGCTTGAATTAATCCAAAAATTGAACTTTGTACTTGCCACATGAAACTCATTTTTTGCTATGGAAGAGTTAAAAATAAATGTAATTCTCATGTTCAAGATAACCACTTATGTTGAATATAAATTATAAGCCAAAAATAAATGTTTGATGCAGCATCAACTCTTATTTGTGAATTGGACGAACTATAGGGTTATGTATTTATTTTTTATTCTTTCCTAATAAATCAATAGGTTTATGTATTTCGTGAACATTAGAATTTTGTGCCATCAACATTAAGCAAGGAAGTGTTCAAATGAAGGCAGTTTCTTAGTTGATACATAGAGTAGTAGTTCAATTATTTCACATTTGGATGTCAGAGTCGCCTACTGTAGCAGAGCCAAAAATTTTACAAAGAGTGTGTAAAATTTAAAGAAGCAACTAACAAAATATTTGAACGTATGTTCACATTTATTTTGCTCAACCCAACTACTTTACCAATTACCATGAGATCGCTTCCTGCACATGTAAATGCCTCTTTATAAAAGATGAAATCGTGTTTCTACTTTTCGACTATGATGCTTAGCACTATTAACTTGTGTTGAAAATATAATCAAATAAATAAAAGTGTGTTCTCTCAAACAGTTTAAGTTTTTAGATGAGATAGTCACACACTTCAATAACTTTTAGATAAGATGGTCACACACTTTACTTTTAAATGTGAAACTGATTTTGCTCTGTAAATAAATAAAACTGTGTTCTCTCTACTGCTACTTTCTTAATTACGAGTTCGACATGAAACTTGTTAGAAGTGCATAGTTTCTCCTGGCTTTGTTTTCGCTAAATAGTGAATTGTTTGAAGTCCTAACAAGTTAACAAACTATGAATGCCTATAACATGAAAGATGGAGTAATATTTATGGAAAGCAAAAGGATTTCTGTTCTGTTTATCAACTTTAACAAGCATGAAAGCATTGCAATTTGCCGCCAGGGGCGAGAAAATTAGCTTATGAAAATATGATCCGTTCAAGTTTGTGACCCGTACATTTATTAGTTCAACATATTTTGACTTGTCCAATCCAATCCATCTGAAATGAGACTGATATATGTAGCTTAAATTAATCAATGAGAAATTGCCAATATTTATATATAGTCATAATAAATAATTTCTTTTTTATGCATTAGCTAGTTAAAAAAAATTATAGAACGACAAAAAAAGAAACTAATTAAAATTTTGTAAGTACCAGGTGAGTTGAGTTATGATTTTAGTTCAAATTTGTTTCAGTTCATGTAATTTTTGTGAGTCCATGACCTGTTTATTCATCAACTTAATTAGCTTATTTTGCTACATGAATTTAATTCAACTCATTCATTTGACACCTCTCGTGGAAAGCTAATGATCTTGAAAAATGTCTACAGACCAATGATCATACACTCACTGAGCTTTCCTTCTAATTCCCGAAAATTCAATTATCAGTCGAGTGGAAGCCGGTTTCTCTCTTTCTACTAGCTAGCTTCCCTTGATTATCCAAGAAATTAATTTTTTTTCCCATCTGGACAACTTTAATGACATATAGTTGTGTTAATAGGCAAAGGCGTATCTAAGGGGGTCACCGGGTTCACGTGAACCCATGGTCCCCTCCCAGATCATATATAGTAGTATTATATTTTAAAAAAATATATTAAAATATAGATGTGTGAACCCACACTTGAAGTATCACATAATGCGATTATGACTGGGTGCACCTCTCTCCGCGAGGTTAGAAATTTGAATTTTATATTTATCTTGTTTTATTTTTCTTTCTAAAATTAGATAACACTTCTCTAAATGGTAATTGGTATATATATAAGAATTAATTTTAGACCTATAATTTTATAATTTTAATGGTTTCAGTAGTAAAATTCTAAATGTCGAACCAAACAAATTTATATCATAGATCAACCTTTTTATAACAGTGCACCCATCATCTCAAAAATCTAGATAAGCCTCTGTTAATAGGTTTGCATGTTTGCTGTATTTCATAAATGACAAAGGTGAGTTGTGCAACTGATGCATGAACGTAACGTAACGTAACATAACATAACATAACATAACATGGAATTAAGTTCTACCCTTTTTTTTTGCAAAATGCCATTTTCTTTTGTTACGATGACGAATCTCTAATATATTAACGAGTTCGGAGCAAAAGGGCAAAAAAAATTGTCAAAAATTTCAAAATGACACATCAATTTTTTTAAAAATCAAAAGGGCAAAATCGCTCCTGACGAAGCGATTTCCCTCTGACACAATGACGAAAAATTGCTGCCCTAGTAGCGATTTTGTCTAAAAACTTTTTTTCTTTTTTTTAATTAAAAATCGCTGCTAGTAAAATTTTATTTTTATTTTTTCTTTAAATTGTTGTCAAAAAAAATCTTTTTAATATTCTTTTATTATTATTTATGATATATAATTCAATTTTCCTCATGCTTCAGCAATTTTATTGAGTATACTCGTCTTGTTTATCATTTTTATATTGTTTTATTTAAAAAAGATATGTAAAAGGAAAATGACTGAGTTTTTGAAAAATCGATTAAACTTATGGTTTAAGAGAAATCGAATTTCCAAAAGAACAGAGTCGCCACTTAATTTTTTGTAAAAAATCAAGAAAAAATCTAAAGTTTTCAAAAGACTTAAACAGATAAAATCAATTGAAAATGGGTCCGAGTTCAATGTACATTCCGAGAAGGTGTTAGGCCCTCGAAATGTCCGCTAACTTGCGGTTGACCGGCGATTTGACTAAAGATGACTTTGACTAATTAATTTTTTAAGAAAGTATTAACTGGGTAAGGAAAACTCTTTTTATTATGTATTTAGATATATATATATATTAAATTTTTTTGAGAAAATATTAACCAGGTAATATGTATGTATATATATATATATATATATATATATATATATATATAATTTTTAATTATTTTTTAGTTAGTTGTTTTAAAGGGAAAATAAACTAAAGGGGGATAGTTTAAGTATTTTCAAGACTAATATTAAAATAAAAAAAAACTAAGTAATAAATGCATACTTTAATTTGAAAATAAAATGAAATGACCATTCTTAGGGAATTTAATCAAAATTAAACCACAAGATAATCAAAACGTTAGTCAAATATAATAAAATAATAAAGGAAGGAAAGGAAGAACATGTCAAATTTGGGCCTATTGCTGTGTTTTTGGGCCTCCTTCAGCCCATTTTCGCTCCCAAAACCTGTGTATACAACAAAGGTATATTGCTGTATATGGGTCGTATTCGACTCATTTTCGTGTATATGGGCATGCATACCAATCGTATACAATATATTTCAGCCTCCAAGTACTTGCAATTCGTTTTTCCACCTATAATTCAATATTTTGAAACATATATCAAGGTATATTGCTGTATATCAGCATGTATACAGTCCGTTTTGGACCTCTCCAGGACCTGTACATCAGTCCCTGCCCCTGTAATTTCTCCCTTTTTACTTGAACATGATGAGGCCGACTCGAAGAAATTCAACTCGATGCAAGGATGGAGTCCAAAGGACTCGAATGGCGTCACATGTAACAAAACGAGTAATAAGGATTAGTATACGAGAAAGGGACCTCCAATCGATTACCAAATGCGCACAAATAATTTTGAAACCATAAATTCATATTTCCAGTATGCCCAAAATATTTTCACCACATTAGCTAATAAATGGAAGGATTTATTCTACCCAAGAATCATTATCATACTAGAGATGAATTGATCATGCATGGTTTGGACAAATTCCATTTGATCTGAATAGAAATCAGTAGCAAATTTCATGATGAAATCAACCTAAGCTAATATACTCAAAATGCAATAATGAATTCAATTAAAGCATATCACATTAAGCCATAGAGATAACGATCTAAGGTAAAGCCTACACCAACATTAAACTTACATACTATCAAAAACAAACAGAATAATACTTATCAAACTAAATGACACCATCAAAAGTAAATGAGAGCGTTTTCAAGCAAGGTTAAATTTTAACAAATCAATAGAATATCTTTTTAACAAAACAAATTTAACTCTCAGTCGAGAACTCAAGATTAACACCTAAATCAAATATTTAAGAAACGAATGCAATAAATTGGCAGTAAAGAAGCAATGCAACATATTAAATGCTAAACATAATTAAATAACCTGGATAGAAATAAAAGTAGCTACTTAACAAAAGAATGAGGTAATTAACTTTCATGACTTAATCTAGTAAGAGATAATATTATCTAACTATAACAGACATAAATTAATGAGACTAAAGCTTAATCAATTGCAACAATCTGTTTAGACATGAAAGAAAAAATAACACATAAATCCTAACTACGCAGCTAAATCACATCAGATTACAAAATGCATACAGAAACCACGAACAAGAGGATTCTTAAATGCAAATTATTGGAACAAAATGAAAGAGAAAGAAAAAGTATTACCTTCTCTAGAGCAGGAACTGAGACAACGACTTGAGAGCAGCACTTCCACCTCCAACTTTATCTTCGCCGAACTCCGACGAATTCTAACAAACTAAGAATTGTAGACA